GCTTCCCCTCCGCGGGTTTCCTTTCCTCAAGTCAGGCGAGCGGGAGAAGGGGTCCGACCCCCCCTCAATACCTTTCCCTCTCCATGATTTCTTGCTTTTCTCCCATCTGCAGCCCTGGAGGGGCCTATAAAGCTTCCCTCTCCGCTTCCTAGGCTTTGCTCCCGTCTTACATAATGGATGCATGCGGTGGGTTCAGCTTCGCTTGGCTTCCTGTCCTGGGGAATTTCGGAGTGGAGTCTAATGGAAAAGGGGGGGGGCATCGGAGGCACCGCCAAGAAGCAGCTCTCTCTCCTCCCCCCAAGGCAGGGGAAGCCGGCCTGGGCCCCAAACAAAGGGGCAAAGTTTCTCCCTCCCTGGCCTTGTGTGTTCCCGGGGTCCCTTCCTCCCGGGGGGTCCCTCTTCGGGGCTGCTTTCACTTTGTCGGCATGAAGGGGAGGCTTTCGGGATAAACAAAAAAACCCCAGCCGTTGCGTTGCGCACCCGGAGGACGATCCTTTCCCCTAAACACACGCCGGGAAGCGGCGTGTTGTGAGTTGTTTAGTAGTGATCGTGCCCTGGTCAGGGAGGCGAGGATGTTTTCCTCCCTTCAGGCCGGGCGAGGAACTCAGATGTCCTTTCCTATCTGGTTCAATAGTGGTGGTTGTGTTTTTGTTCAGTGTACGTAGAAAGTGTTGTAGGGGGAGAAGTTACCCGGTGCCCTGTTAGGGTATCCGGGTTGAAATCCACCACCACCACCACCCCCGCTTGGAGATCTTAAATCCAAAAGAAATCGATCAGTATATTGAATGGAAGACGCAGAATATTTCTCCTTATGTATACAATGCTTTGAGTTTCTTCTGCCTTTTTTTTTTAGCAGACACAAAGTAGTGGAGATAGTAAACTTGTGGACTGGCTTATTTCTTCTGCCTTTTTTTAGCAGACAAAGCAGTGGAGATAGTAAACTTGTGGACTGGCTTTTAATAGCTATATAGTTTTAAAGTGAAAGTCTAAACTTTGGTTGATCTTAGACGTGGAGTGTTTCATATCCTATCTACAATACATTGATTATATGACCCCTATCCTGTCCTCTCAATGCTTGGCCTACAGTTCCCATCAGCCCCACCTGCATAGTCTGTGGCACAGATTTGTGTTACTTGTGACCCAAAACCTCCGGAGAGCCAAAGCTCTTAATTGAAACATGCCACAGGGTGAAATCTGATTCCTTCCAAAGAGATAACATTAAACTGTATGGAGCTATGAAAAGAAAAGAAAACTTCTAGTTGTTTTTTTCCCACTGAGCTGGAGGATGAAAATGGGGATGGGGGATCACAAGCACTCAAGGTTCATATGACCATAGGACTACAGTATCTCTTCCTGTTAATGTGTGTCAAGTAAGATAATGTTACATAATTGCAGAATATTAGGGGCCTCTTTTCTTTCACTCTTTGCTTTCCTTTATATTTTCTCCCATAGTTTAACACTGAACCCTTTAATCAACCTCAGGTCCTAAATAATAATTTTTAAATACTACTGATAGCTTATTTGACTGTTTACGTTGTATTGGTGGGAAAATCATTAATTTTTTTTTAAAATGTCTTGTTGCTGTTTTCTATAACACTGTAGATTGTTAATTTAGTGGATGGCTTGTAGTAATGTACAGATTGGCTTTTTTAATTAGATGCTCCAAAATAGTACATGAAATATTGTTAATAAAATAGAAATGGTAGGGAAAAAATTCATGGCAGTGCCATATGCTTTTGAGTAGTAGTTGCATTAACTACCCTGGTACATCCAAGCCACTTTAGAACCAGTGTAAATACACTGTAGTAAGCTACTATGCACAAGTCTGGGAAATCTTAAATTTATGCTTGATAGCTTTGAAATGAGCCCACTTCCCATGGATAAATTTTCATTAAGTGTTTCTGTATGGTTTCTTGTGAAAACATATCCAAGTTGGAATTTCATATAAGCAGGTTTTCCCATAGGTAAAAAATGAAGGCTCATGCCATTATTCTTTTATCTGCGCTTCTGGTGACAGTGATTAGTAGATATTTGAGTAATTGGTAGATTGGCCAAGTGTTCTGATCTTTCATTTACTAAGTATATTTTCAGTTCAGCTTGAGAGATTGAAACTTTACATTATCCACATTGCTATTTGTGAGCAATGCAAGTTATAATGTAATCATCTTTTCCTTATGAAAGAGGAGGTTTGGTTATATTGTATCCACTTTAGTATTGTGTTTTGCCACAAACATCTGATCATCTGATTTAAAAAACCCCACAAAGTTTGTAGAGCTTTGAAAAAGGAATAAAAAATTGAGCTTTAGATTTAGGCAAACTGTTTGCTCAGCAAAAAGTATGAGCTCTACCACATGGTGCAATGCCTGAGTTTTCTGACATTTTTCCTGTATTTGCAAAGCCCTATTTTAAAAATGTGTGGGTGCATTATAAGAGAAGTAATCTATTTATAAGCATGTGCCCTGCTCTTCAGAAAAAGCCTGTTGAGTGGCTGACTTTAAAAAAGGCTAATTAACACGCTAAAACAGCAGTATGATTAAAAACACAGGATAATTGAAGTGGGGGAGAGAAAATGACTGAAGAGTAGAGAGGACAGCCTTCCAGGGAAAAGCATTCTGAAGATGTCAACTTATAACTGAAAAAAAATCAAAGTCATTAGCCTCACCTTAAAAAGAACTGAAAACATTAGGGGAGATGTCTCTTGTCTGGATTGGGTAATTTTCAGATCAGTTATTTAGATTTGATTTTAAGTATTGCTCTTCAATGTTTATACAAAAATACATTGTAACAACAAGGTGCTCATTCCTCTCATTTGTTGTGGCTTATTAACAGAACAATGGAGTTGTAGCTGATTATTTTGTTTTCTCTTGGAACTAGTGCCAACACATCAACTCTTTAGAACTTCTCCCACAAGCCCAGCACATTGCTAGGTGTTCAAAGTAGGTAGTATTTTAGAGGGAGTTACTCAGTGAGGAGATGGGCATGCAGTATTCAGGCATAAAAAGGGCTGTATTTGTGGCCAGGATACATGCAACCTCTCACCCCTCCATCTGCAATACACATTCCCTCACCACTTCGAATCAGAGCTTTGCTAATTGAGCACACATTTCTGAAGACTGTAAGTACATTTGGCTAAACATGCTTACCGAGCTCTCAGAATTCTGATTCCTGATAAGTTAGCGTTCCCAGTCAGAAATCTAACCCTATGCACATGTTCAGGTGAGTGCCTGGATAGGGCTGATAGCAGAACACTCCTGTTACATGCCGGTTTGTCTGCTGATGATCTTTGCCTGTGATGGAAAGCATTGGCTGTGTTCTAGGTTATAACCCTACTGTATTTAGGATGATACAGAGGCTTGGTTATACAGGATTTGCACATGTACCATAGAAGATGGCCCAGTATTCTCTGTTCGTGCACACGGGGTCTTTAACTTTTGCTTTAAGTATTCTCTTTGCAGCAGACAAGTTGGCACAGAAGAGATTGCCTGAAGGGAGAAAGTTTGAAAGCCAGTGACATGTTAGAATGTTTATGTTGAAACATGCGTTCATTGAAATGTGAACAGTGGTGAAAATGAGAACAGGTGCTGTCTTGCTGACATGGAACTCCAAGCTGGAAATATTGAAACATGCTTAGTTTTAAGGTTTAATTTGGCTTGTGATGGAATCTACTAGAACAGACATAGTATATAAACTTGCCATTGTTCATTGAACAAGCCCATTACCTAAAAAAGCTGTACTTATCTTAAGCTGTTTGGAAAAATAGGTAGATAGGTATACAGCAGCATTTTGTATATGCTGCTAATATTAAACTGTTCTCTGGCCAACCAATACATCTCTTTTTTTTATCATTAGTTCAAGCAGCTCTTCTCTGTTTCATGAAACATAGAGGGGAAGCTTGTTTGTTCTGTTCTGTTAAATTTAACATAACTCCATATTGCAAAGAGAGGGGGCAATATTGTCTTTTGTATTGGCTTGCAGCACCCATAATCATTCTAAATATGCATCAGGCAATGTAGTAGAGTAGGATTTTACCACCTGGAAATGCATATGTGGGATTGCTAGTTTGGAGGACCCCCATGTCAAAATCTGCTTTGCTGTTTATTTTCAGCTTACTTTGCATAATATTGTGTGCTTTGGGACATGCAGATACATACAAACACCTACAACTTGCTCCTCAGAGAACTGTTGTTTTTCCTTTTTACGAAGCCATAATTTAATAATCTTTTAAATAAATAAATATATTTTTGAACTGTTCAGTGTCCAATTATCCACATGTGGATTCTTCAACCAGAAATGAATAAAGGTTTTGGAACTTCTCAGGAAACTTCAGCGGGTCCAAAATGCAACAGTGAGATTGCTAACTGGGGGCTGGCCACAGAGATCATATAACCCACATACGACAGCAACTCCACTGCCTGCCGATCCATTTCTGGGCACAATTCAAAGTGCTGGTTCTAACTTATAACATCCTAAATGCCTTGGGCCCAAGCTATATCCAGGACTGAGTCTTTTAATGGGTCTGCCCAGGTATTAAGATCATCAGGAGAAGTCTTTTTCTTGATCTCACCATTCTGCACTTGGCAGGGGACACGGGAGAGGGCCTTCTCTGCTGCCACAGGTGCACTTGGCAGGGGACATGGGAGAGGGCCTTCTCTGCTGCAGCTTCCAGACTTTGGAACTCCCTCCCACAGGAGGCCAGGCTGGCCCTATCTTTGCTGTCCTTCTGCAAGCAGGCAAAGACCTTTCTCTTTAGACAAGCTTTTCCAAAATGACTGGCTGCTGAAGTGTGGTTTTTGAATGGACTGTTATACTTTACTGCTTTAAATGTGTTTTGGTGTTGCTTTTGTTTACCATTTATTAGTGTGGTATTTGTTTGACCATTTTAGTATTGTATACTTGCTGTTAGCTTTTCATACTACCTTTTAATGTTGTAAGCCACCTTGGATCCGTTTTTTAACGAGAAAGGCGAGATAAAACATCTTAAATAAAATAGTAATAATAATAAATAAAATTCTAGGTTCTTCCAGTATTGTATAGCATAATGTCTAAACTGTCACTTGATCTATTCTGTTTAATTGTAGCGATTAGTAATGAATATAAAGAATTCTGATCTGTGGTTTCCGTGTATCCAATGAAAGTTTAATTCTTGACCTATCATTGTTTCATAGTATTTTGTCTGGTTAGTTCTTCCTATAGAGGAAAGTTGAAGAAACCAGTGGGGATACTAACTCATTGTAAATATGCATAAAGGTGGTATAGAGCTCTCCAGTGAAGATATTTCACCTCTCGATTTATCACTGTTGTTGTGTTTTTCTCTTTTGTTTTTAACTGTAGGAAGCCAAACCTTCAACAGAGGACTTGGGAGACAAGAAAGAAGGAGAGTACATTAAACTCAAAGTAATTGGGCAGGTGAGCATTTCCATATTCTATTTAATATGGACACTTAAACATTTTAGGTTTAAACTTACAGATGGATGGACTTCACAGATTTACAAAATGTGTCTGTTACGAGCATGCTCAGACATAAGAGCATATAATAAATGAAGTCTGTCTTTTTGCACAAGTAATTAGGTGTTCCTGGCTGCTAACTGGAGTCAAGTAAGTGATGGGCAGATTAATGTATTTCAGTCCATCATTCTATCCTGGATCTAAAATGTCTCACAATATCTTAGATGTTCATTATAAAATAGATATTCACTTCAAATGTTTCTTATAGTCAGTTGCCAAAATCCTGTTGTGAAATTCCATGTGCATCAGGGAAACCATGCAAACAGTTTTGGGGCATTTTTTGCATGCCTTGGCATGGAACCAGCTGCACATTGAACATGTTACTGGGATGTATCAGACCACATCACAGGCAGTGGAATTTATGATGCCAGAATTACTTTCTAATATACCACTTGGCTGTCTGTCTGTGTATATTTAAAACTGACGTTGGATGACTTCCCAGGAGTAGTGAAAATTTATTTGCACATCATTATCTGCATATGCTAATTTTTTTACAAAGGGCAAGTTGACTTGTTCTTATTTGAAGAGACTTGCTGTATAAAAACAGATGCAGGGGGCAGGGAGATGAAGGCATGGGAGAGCAGGAAAAATATGCTGTCACATATAATTTTGCTTTATTACAGTAGTTTAGTAGAACATGAGGCTCGTTCCAAAGACCTTCCAGAAGAGGGGAAATGTAATCTCTTCAAATTTACCTTCTATTTTGATAGTGAATTAGCTTTTTAAACATTTTTAATGTAAAATATACATTTTAAATCAAGCAACAATGTTTGAGCTTACTGAGAACGCCCAAATACTGTAACTCTTATGCAGTGGATTGTACCTACAAATGGGAGGATTAGGATGTAGAAGAGCCTCTCGCTGAAGGAAGCAGCAAGACTGATTTTTATCAATTTCCCTGCATCTTCTACAAACTGCAGTCCCATACCACTTCCTACACTCTTCCACACCCTCCAGAGCTGCTGTTCAGGAGGTGCAGGAGGCTGCAGGGGATAGGAAGAATGGGCAGAAGGTGGTTTCTGCTTCATCCTTCTCCAGTGAGAGGGTCACCTGAGTGAAGCTCTGCTCACTGGAACCTGGTTCCAACCCATAATCCTGCTAATGGCAACACAGACTGGCAGGTCTCGTCTTCTCTTTCACTTAGCCAATGATTGCTGGAATACAATGGATGCAAATCGTAAGAGGCCCTAGAACTGGATTTCTTATAGTGAACTGGCGCCCACTCCAGATGTCATAGAACAGGAAGGGAAGGTGGATCATGAAATCTTGTCCTCTGCCCCCCCCACTCTGATCTTCTAGCTCCAGCTTTTAAAATGTAAAGTAGGCATGGCAACATTTTATTTGAGGAAAGATGAGCCTTAGAACGCCTAGATCTTATACTTGATGAGCAGCAGAAGTACTCTGTACTCTGTCTGTTACATAGGTAAATCCCACATTTTCTTCTCTTGCTTCTGCTGTCACAGATGGACGCAATGAACTCCGTTGTTTTAAAAGGGAACATGCTGTGTTTATTCAGATGTAAACCCACTGTGCTTAGTGGGCCTTGTGTCTGCAGCCTAATAGCACAGTTATATGTGTGTGTACTTTTTAAGAGTCATTGGCCAAAATCCTGTTGCTTAGCTTAGTGAATCATGCTAGAGTAGATCTATGGGGATTTGGTGATTCAACTCCTTTATAGGTTCCACTGAGTCAAATAGGCTGCTCTAACTGCAGCTTACTATGCTGAAGTAAGTTGTTGTTAAAGTAGCTCCATTAGAATCAGTGAAATCTACAGTCACGGGAAAACCATTTTCTCAGTGTTGTTTGGACCAAACTTTATTTCATTGGGCTTTGTACAGTCTCTTGTGAAGTCCCAACTATGGTCTTATGCATTAACTACTTCATCTATATTAGATCGAAAGATCGGATAGAATTGAGTGTTGTCTGCCTTTTGATGACCCTTCAGAGTCCAAAGATTTGGTTACGCTCTCCCAGTATTTTCGGGTAGCTGTTGAAAAGCACAAGGAATGCCATAGAGGCTTGAACCATCCTGCAGCACAGCTGACCATGGGCCAGTGCACCAACTTTTTTCCTGGAATCTGCTGTCCAGTTATGATTAGAATCCCCAGCCACCCCTCCCCTGTACATTGGCACGTCATCCCAGTGTAGACAGCCTACCAAGAAAGATGGAGTGATCAACAATATTGAAAGCAGCTGGGAAGTCCAAGAGAAACAATGGGGTTGTACAGCTCCATAGCTGTCTTAGCACAGATCATTCTGCAGAACATCCAAGTCAGTTTCAGTTCCAAAACCCAGGGCTGAAACTGGATTGAAAGAGATTCCAAAAGTCTGTTTCATATACATGTGCTTGATAGATTAATACATAATCTAGTGCTTTGATACAGTTTGGAATTTGGAGGTCGTATCTGTATGTTGTGTAACTTGTTGCACATCCTGTTTTATTTACAGTTGGCAAAATTGGTGAATACAAGACATTTTTCAATGAAAGCCGAAATACAAAATGTAAAATAAAATACTGGACAAAACAAAAATAGTATCCTCTTAAAACAGAAGTAAGTCAAATGGAACATCAGTGCCAAATTAGACTGAAGCCGCTGAAGGAACAAGTGGTTTGTTATAGGATAAACATGTTTGTAGAATGCTTCCATTTTGAAGAGAGAAACTATTTAAATATTTCGTAGGGGGCTAATATGCCTTGTGTTCTGTTTATAGGACAGCAGTGAAATCCACTTCAAGGTGAAAATGACAACGCATCTAAAAAAACTTAAAGAATCATACTGTCAGAGACAGGTATGTGAAACTGGAAGGACCTGGTCTTTCTCCTTAGAATATACTTGAATTATTTCTGTTCCACTGTAGTAAAAGAGATTGAAGTGTAATAGATAAAACTGTTAACACATTCTATGAGATTTTGTGGTGATGATGCCTGTAGTAGGGATTGGTTGGGTTTATATATTTCCACGGAATTTTTACAGGAATTCTCTATAATAATTTTCCCCCAAACAATCCTGTTGTTATAGAAGTGGAAATTAATTGGCCCATTCTGTAGAATAATTATTGTCCAGTCGTGTTCAACTCTAGGCTTTACAGGAATTCTCTATAATAGTTTTTTCCGAAACAATCCTGGTGTTATAGAAGTGGAAATTAATTTAGCCCATTCTGTAGAATAATTATTTCAATTGATGGCTGTGACCGGCCTCAACTTAGGCTTGTCAATGTTTAAAATAACTTTCCATTAAAGGGCTTGACCCTAGTCATTAACCACACTTGACCAAGTGGTTAAAGAATGAAAAATGATCCACTCTTTATTAAAAAGGTAAAGGTAAAGGTTCCCCTTGACAATTTTTGTCCAGTCGTGTTTGACTCTAGGGGGCGGTGCTCATCCCTGTTTCCAAGCTGTATAGCCAGCGTTTTGTCCGAAGACAATCTTCTGTGGTCACATGGCCAGTGCGACTTAGACACGGAACGCTGTTACCTTCCCACCAAGGTGGTCCCTATTTATCTACTCGCATTTGCATGCTTTCCGAACCGCTAGGTTGGCAGGAGCTGGGACAAGTGACGGGCGCTCACTCTGTCACGTGGATTCGATCTTATGACTGTTGCTCTTTATTATTAAGTAAACTCTTGGGAAACAGATCTGAGCTTCAGTTTATAACCCAACAGCCCAGAACACATCTTCTTTCGTCGGTTACACTGTACAACTCCCACATAAGGTTCCAGCCCTCCAGTCCCTCCTCCTTCAGGCTCCAGGATAGGCTGGCTACCTGCAACCAGGCAGCCAATCATCTTGTTTCCCTGTTGCCAAGGGTTTCCATCACAGTGCTCATAACATTCTAGATTGCACGAAATAGGTAAAAATCTCAAGAGCAAAGTGCTTTTCTAAAAGCACAAATATACTTCTACAGGAAGTAGTGTAATAATACTATCCTAAAGAATCTTGTGATGACTGTGAAAATTAAAATTAAATTAAAAATCACTTTGCTCCTTTCAGCAAAATGCTATTTGAATGACTGATGATAAACAAAGCAACAGAAACAGGGTCATAATTAAAATAGTGAAGATAAAAGTGGTCCTCAGCCTGCAGAAGCAGATTGGAGGCGAAGGCCAAAGGAATATAGGGAGGTAAATTATAAACAAGTCTAGCCTTCTGTAAAAGGTAAATATGTGGGACTCCAGAACAGACTGAATACTTATGTGATGCAAAAAGATTAAATTTAAATGCCTTGACTTAGAATTGAGCAGGTATGGCTCAGTGGGGTGGAGCACCTGGCTGTGGAGCCAGGGACTGAGAACTTGAATCCTTCCTGTGCTTCTCAGGAGAGGGGATACCTGAGATCCCTAGAAGTACGTGTGGCCTTGAGCAGTGGTTCTTAACCTTTGTTACTCGGATGCTTTTGAACTGCAACTCCCAGAAACCCCAGTCAGCACAGCTGGTGGTGAAGGCTTCTGGGAGTTGCAGTCCAAAACTCCTGAGTAACTCAAGGTTAAAAACCAGTGGCCTTGAGCAAGCTTTAAAATCTCAGAGCATCACTACAAGAAATGGATGGTAAGCCACTTCTGAGTACAGTACTTCAGACTAAAAAAAAACTGAGAGAGTCCCCAAGTATTTCAACTTGTCTTTCCATAAATCAAAAAATTCAGTTGGATAGTAAGCTGTGATTAAAATTTAGTACTTTTTCTTCTTATGAGTTGAAATAGTCTTAAGAGCTGGTTTCTCTCTCTCTCCCCCCCCCCCCTTTTTAGGGAGTTCCAATGAATTCACTCAGGTTTCTCTTTGAGGGTCAGAGAATTACTGATAATCATACTCCAAAAGAGGTAAGTTTCTCATAATTCCAAATACAGCTCCTTCCTTTTTTGTTTACTTCAGTTTCAGTTTCAATCCAAAAGGAAGATTCGGGCCGCCTGGATCAGTATCAAGAGAACCATGCATGAGCACATCAGCCCAGTTGCTAGTCCTAGCTAGAGTAGACCCAGCTTCTACATGGCAAATCACCCCATCCAAAGCCAGTTGATTGAGTGGTCTACTGTCACTGGGACTAGCAATTGGACTGAGGTCTATAGAGTAGGACACTGTATCTATGGGATTGGTGTTCGCGGTGTCATTTTCCTGTGATTTACTACAGCCCTATATACATCATACAAGACAACCACCTGTTCCGGAGTACATTGTTGCCTTTTGAAGATAATTTAAATCAGGCTTGTCCAACCTTGGGCCTCCAGATGTTCTTGGACTACACCTCCCAGAAGCCTTCACCACCACCTCTGCTGGCCAGGATTTCTGGGAGTTGAGTCCAAGAACATCTGGAGGGCCAAGGTTGGACACCACTGATTTAAATGATTGTTTAAATCACTCTGGAACTCCCTGACCCCATCTTTCTGTCCGTTGGGTGTTTTTTAAAGAGAAAGTCAGGGTAAAAGATTTTAAATAAATGAAATTAATTCAATCAGTAGTCCAGCATATTTGAGAACTCCAGCTTGGTGCTTGTGAGCAGCTTGCCTGTATATGTTGTCTGATGTCTTGTGCTTGATTTCTTCTGCCAGCAGGAGGGACTACACAGGGAAACTGCTGGGTAATGTTCATTTTTACAGCTGGTAAACAGGAAGCCTGAATTCTCAGTCATCTGCCATTTGGTGGCACAAGACGAGGCCCATTGAATCAGTGAGGGTTTGGTGGATTTTTTCCTGCATGACCTCTATCGATTCAATGGGCCTTCTCTACTTTTGACTTAATTTAGTGTGGTAAGTGGCAACTAGAGTAAGCCTGTTTGAATCAGTGGAACGTAATGGAAGAGTCGACTCACCAACCCCTCAGTGGCTGAGTCTAGTGCAATGTACTACCGCAAAGCAACAGGATGTCAGATATCGATTTAAATGAATCTATTCTGACAATTGCTGAGATTCTTATTGCCTGGCTGCTTGCTTACAAACATTTTAATACCTGTAAAATTCTGTTTCCTATTTTACAGCTTGGGATGGAAGAGGAAGATGTGATCGAAGTTTATCAGGAACAGACAGGAGGCCATTCAACAATTTAGATTGTTTGCTTTCCCGACTTTTCCCTTTTATCCTTTTTTATTTTTAAATGATAGTTCTTTTGTAATGTGGTATATAACACTGAAATGAAATCAGCACCCCACTCCCATAACCGGGGTATTATTTCCAAATGTCCATTTTGAATCCTTGTGCTCATTATATTCTATCATTTGTTTTCATTGTGCTGAATTCTTGTGATCCCGCCACAGTTGTACTTCCTTGTTATTCCTGTATCCTCCTTAGAAATACACCCATCCACACATGCATTTGTGTGCTGACAAGGCTCATGTGTTTAAGCATGTTAACAGATCTGCCAGATGGGCAAAAGTTCCTAATAATTTCCATATTGGCTCCAGAGTTTTGATGTGTGACAATGTCTTGTAGATTTTAAGATACAAAGGAGATGAAGCTTTTCTGAAATCTTAAGCAACGGAAGCATCGTGCCTGCAAATTAAGAACTGTTTTCTTTAGCTTTTGCCGATGTCCTTTGACAGAAAATTATCCAAATGATGATGGGAAAAATTGGAGTCTTTTTCCAATAATAAGATTTTTGAAGTAGCCACCATGAAAGTAACATGGAAAATCCTACTGATTTTTGATGGCAGAAGAGCCTAGGAGAAGCTTGATTTTCAGTAGCTGATAATGCCTTTTGCACCAAGCATAGGTAATGGTTTTTCCATTGTTGTACTTTTTGACCTGGGATGTGTTCTGGGAATGGACATAGACTGTACTGGGTTTCTTTAAATAAAAGGAAACAAATTTATAAACCTCTGCATTTTCTTTTGAGATATCTGAAGATGGGAGACTGGCAGAAGCAGTGAAGAATTTTTAAGGAACATTGTTTTACACATTCTTCAAATGCTTGAGAATATCATAATATAAAACATGGTTTTGCTCAATGTTTTACTCATTGTCAACTATCCCTCTCTTGCTTGCTAGCCCTTAAATATTAAATAGCAGGGTGTTTCAACTTCAAGCAGCTAACATCTACATGAAGTGTGTGCCTCCAGAAAAAATCATGTTTGTACAATTCTGAAAATTATCAGGTTGCAAGAATTTGAACAGAAGAATACAAACAAGAAGATTTTCAGTTCTTTACGCCTAACACTTGGCAACATTTTCTCCAGGTAATCAGTGGGATATCAGTGTCTTGTTTCAGAGAAAATTAGTCCAGAAAAGGCTCAGTAACTTTGTTGGGACTTAAATTAGTCATGATTTTCTGTGTTAGGACCCAAGTACCCAGCGTTTAGAAATCCTAGGTAATTTTGAGCCTTAGACTTTCAAATGCTGTATTCCATAGAATGAAAGTGAATGGTGCGCATGAACCTGTGTGTACTGTAGGGCCAGAGGCATTTGAACAAGCACAGACTTGAAGTCTAGAGCAGTAGTACCCAAACTTTGGGTAGTCCAGATGTTGTTGGACTGCCATTCCCAGAAGCCTGCACCACCAACTATGCTGGTTGTGGTTTCTGGGAGTTGCAGTCCAAGAGCATCTTGGTTGCCCAAGGTTGAGACCCCTGTTTTAGAACCTCATCATCTGACATCCTCTGCAGCTTCAGTGGCCTGAAGGCTAGACACCAGATCCTATGTGCAGAAGTCACTTTCAGAAGAGCTTATGTCTGTGTTAAGCATTCTTAGCATATAAGTACTTCTGGAAACATTTGCCAAGTGAATTATGTCCTAAAGTAAACAGCAAATTGTTAGAGCAACTGAAATAAAAACTATTCACTGGTTTTGTAGAGTCTGTTCTGTGAACTAGTATTCTGAAATGATGGCTCTCTTCCCCTTTGAAAGAAAATGTTTCCTAATAAGTTGTCTAAACACTTGGTCTTTGTAACTATTTTAGTAAATTGCAGAACTGTGTCATAAGAAGCCTGTCATACTAGAAAAGGGGTCCTTAGCTCAGGTTTACAGTATGATGAGGCCAGGATTAGAAACGCATTGCTCTACCTCTGCCTTTTTTTTCCTTGCAAGGAGAGTGTGGGAAAAATAAGAGAAACTGAGACTGCAATGTTGCTAAGCATGTTTTAACAAACCATTTAATTGTGAGTTTACCCTTTATTTTTAAGCTGGCACTTATTGTAAAGTGTTAAACCGATCTTCTCAATGCTTGTAGTTTCCATGTTCCACTTTTGTACACATGTTAAACTTTTTTTAAAAATTAAAATTTGTTTTCAAAAATCAGCATATGATTTTTATCCGTGTTGTCCATGTTTACAGGAATTAAACAGCCTGAGTGAAAAGTGAGTGGAAATGTGTTCTAGCCTGACAGTAGCTTTTTCAGATCCATGTCTCTTCTTCCATCAGAACATAGTGAAGCACCAACTTGAATGAATCGCTCATTGAATCGGTGTGGATTTGGTCATTCCTCACATCTTTTGGGAAGTCACCAACATTTGGTATACTGTGACTTCCACCTTTCACTGCTTGGCAGTTTATGCAAATTTGAGATGGGAGTAGGGAAAAACAAATCACAGCTTCAGTGTATGTAGTCATTCTAGTTATTGATTGGTATAGTACAAATGGGATAGTAGAGGAGCTGTATGTAGATCAGTTGGAGGCCAAGGAGGAAAAGGGTGATGACTAATGATGTTCTTTTTCAGTGCAAGTTAAATCTCACTGGGGAAATTAAGGTCCAGAGAACCTGATGTCAACCCTTTAGAATTTCTTGTTTAATAAAATGCCTAGTGCACATATCCTGTTCCATGAAGAGCCAAAACAAAGCATGAGTTAGGGAGGGAATGGGAGCTACAACCACCACCTTGCGTGCTCCTACCACTGTTTCAGACTCCATTTAATTATTCCTCAGGGACACCTATTGTGCATTTTCCCATTATTCCATAGTACAAGAAATTAGGCCCAATGCTCTTAAAACGTCTTTCCAGCAATTTAATCATACTTTTATCAAAGAGCAGTGTTTCAAACTTTGCTGTTGATATATTCTATCTTGCTTACCCCTAGGCATCCTTATGTTGCAAGAACATTGTGGAAAAGTAGTTATTCTCTTCTAAAGGGAAATGACTTTGTTGTCATGGTTACAGGCCCATCCATGTAATCCAAAGGGACAACTGCAAGTTGTTCTGAGGTGAAATAAAGGTGCAACAACATAAGATTCATCCCGCTGTTTGGTCTGCTCTGGGGACAGGCTGGTTTGCTCCTTTTCCCAGCAACCACAAAATGTTCCAGTGTGAACCAGCCCATCCCCAGAATGTTGCTACCTGCACCTTTTTTGGCTCCCTATCAGGCAGTGCTATTTTTTAAAAAGGTGTCAGTTGTATTGCTCCATTTTGTCCAGCAAATGCGATCACTGGGATCGAACCAAAGGAGATGGCTCACTGCTGTTAATTTCTCATCTGCTGACAATTTCCCAATATTGTTAAGAAGCTTAAGCAGACACTTAATGATATTGGGAAACTACAAATGTTTCCTCTGTGGAGCAGGGGAGAAGGGAATCAAAGGTTTATTTTTTTGCCTGTCAGGGCAGTGCTGATGGGCTGTACCTATTAGAACAGAAAAGCAAGCTTCTTCCCAGAAGCAGGAAGGGACGAGGAGGAAGATCCCCCCTTTTTCCTTTAACAGGAAGCAGACTAAATAGGGTTGCTTGAGATGTGTACGTCATGTACAAGGATTGCATCAAATTGTGTACCACACATGTACGCAACCTTAAATGGCCCTATTTAGCCCCAGCCTGCTTGAAATTAGCAACCTAACCAATTCCTACTTTTCCCCCAGTATCATTTTACAATATTAGGAAATAGAAGACAGTTGCTTGCAGTGAGGGAAGAAAATATTTACAAGAAGAGGCATGTGACTACCCAGATATAATAAGATTGCACAGGGAATGATCCAGACCCCATAAAAATGGGATACAACAGCATCCTCCCTCTGCTGCTGCTCTCACATGGTTCAACTGAGGTTTGGCTGTCATTAAAAGTAATTCCAGCATGTTTTCCACAATATCCAACCTGTAACATTCATTTGTATCCCTGTTCCTGCAAGGGACCACATAGGGTCTGTATTGCCTCTGTATTGCCAGAGAATGCCATGCCTAATTTCCAAGAGACTGGGGTGGGGTGGGGGAGCATAGGCCATATCTGTATAGTCTGTGGTTGAAATTGTGTTGCTTAGGCATTCTTAGCTGGCAAATAGTTTCCACTATGATTTTGAGGGTGTGCGTGCATGCTGGCCTGATTCATGCAGACTTGCCGCCTCTTCAAGAATCATGGGGAGGATTTTTTATTTGCCAGGAAAAAGCCAAAGCAAAGCATGAGATAGGGAGGATACGGGATATACAGTAGGACCGCCATATCTGTTGGATCAATATCTACAGTTTGCCACAGCCCTATATACAACATACATGGGTGCCCCCTAGTGGCCTTTGTCCTGCCCCCTTGTATGATGTACATAGGATTCCCTTGTATCCGCCGTTTCAGGCATCTGCACTAGTTTGTAGAACTGATCCCTCAAGGGCACGAGGTACTACTGTAAAGCCTTCCCAGTGGCAGCCTCCACAGCTGTTTCAGAACCCAACAGGATTATCTGTTAAGAGTTTCTCTTAACTAAAAGCTTCTTTGCCATCTCTCTTTCAGAAGACAGGAGTATAGTTGACCTGCATCTTCTTTGGAGACTGGAAAATTTGCAAGCTTCAGTTCTGTCCAAGCAATAGGACTCAAGATGCACAGCTGTCCAACCCCTCATTGGAGGACATTTCTTCTGCAGTTTGTTAGCATAAAGAGGGCTTGGAAGTAGCTTTCTGTTCTGGCTGTTAATCTTTCACATGCCAAGTTAGAACACGGTATTATTTTTTTAAAACTGATGTGGGGTTCACTAAATTCAGTGGAACAGATCAGGGCAATACAAATGCTGATGCTTTGGGATAGGAGACTACTAGAGCCTCATGGCTGCATGTTCTTCAGCAAAAGTAATAATTTCAGTCTCTAATCATCATCTCCCACCTTTAAATAAGGATGCTGGAAATAAGAATAAACCCACGGACGGGATATTTCTTGCCTTTGTTCCAGGCCGCTGGCCTCCACACGCAGTTTATATTGGAATTGCTGCTGCTTCTCCAGTTCTGCCTTTTGTCTGAAAATAGAGAAATTAAATATTTTTTAAAAAGCAGTCTTGCATTCGTCATTAAAAGTTGGATCTTCAATCTTTTTCTCAACGTGAAAGAGGTACTGATTATCCTTTTGAACTGATTGTTCTAAAGCGTAATTGTTTATTTAAGAAAATTTGTATCTTCTCCATCCTCCACAAGAGTTATGGTGGCTGGCAACAATTTTCAAAACTATTAAGATCTATTATTTCGAAAGTAACCTAATAAAAAAGTGAAGAAAAAGATCCAGCAGATACAGCAAGTGAAAAACAGCTGAGAAAGGTCATTCATTATATGGGCTCTGCTCTTGACCTAGCTTTTGATGGCATCGTTTACTAACGTACCCTAATTCAGCAGTGCCATTGATGGGTCTGTGTACCTTGCCAGTAACAACGCATGCCTCCTCGCTTCCTCTAAAGCAATTCTCGCTGCCTCCTCGTGCTTCTTCCTTCTCTCTTCAGCCTCACGTCTCACTTTCTCCTCCTCTTCTTGTTTCTGTTTCTCATACTCCAGCCTCTGTTCCTCCGCCATCTCTGCCAAGCGCCGGCGTTCCTCCTCTAACCACAGCTCCCTTTCTTTCTGTCGACGTTTTTCTGCTTCTAAGGAACAGATTTTTTAAGATAGTTGGATCGTGAGTCCACTGGTTTCAGTGGGCTTAGCTATAACTCACAGGCCTGAGTTGCTGAAAAAGGTGACATATGAACCAAGAACCATTTTCTTTTTTTCAAAATGGAAAATATATGATCTGTTTAGGGACGTGGTGGCGCTGTGGGCTAAACCGCAGAAGCCTGTGCTGCAGGGTCAGAACACCAAGCAGTTGTAAGATCGAATCCACGCGATGGAGTGAGCTCCCGTCGCTTGTCCCAGCTCCCGCCAATCTAGCGGTTCGAAAGCATGCAAACGCGAGTAGATAAATAGGTACCACCACGGTTGGAAGGTAACAGCGTTCTGTGTCTAAGTTGCACTGGCCATGTGACCACGGAAGATTGTCTTCGGACAAAACGCTGGCTCTATGGCTTGGAAACGGGGATGAGCACCGCCCCCTAGAGTCGAACACGACTGGACAAAAATTGTCAAGGGGAACCTTTACCTTTACCTTCAAGCTAGAAAAGATTTTCTCTGTTAACAGTGTTCAAATAGATGGAAACGTTGTTTTAAAGAGGGCAAAAATTGGGTCACAGAGAAGACAGCAACACCAGCCAGAATCGTAAAGAAATTTATCTAGGACAAACGTTGAGAATACTGAAAAAGGTTGCAAAAGTGCTACTGGAGAAATTAACAATCTTGTATGCAGCCTGGCACTAGGTTTCAGTGGGTGGAGAGAGTTTTCTTCCACAAACTAAGGTGACTGTCTCCTGCCACTAACCAATTAGCAAAGTCTTTCTCTTACCTCCACTTCCTGTCACTTTGCTTCTGGTTGCTTTGTTTTGTTCTCTCTCCTCCTCTCTGACCATTGACCAAAGCAGACATGTTTTTCTCTGCTTCCTGACCTTTGGATCATGTGGCCTTCTCCTTCTTCCAAATGACTGAGAGATCCATACTTAACAGAGCTGAGCTACTACTGAGCTATTTCCGCCTTTATCCTTTTTACTCTTCTGATTGTAACTGAAATCAACTGTAAGTAAAGTTGTATTTCTTTTTGCACTTGAGCTACTTGTAGCATGATTTTTATATGCAAAGGTGTAGTTTCATTGTGAAAACAAAGGGGCTGGGTGGAAGCTGGGATTTTTAGCTATTCTCCTGTGCTGCAACAGTTTGTGTTTTAGTACTTTTTGCTCTGCTAACTAAAAAGAATCAATAAAAATTCCTCCAATAAGTGCATGGCAGAATCTCTATCAGTGAAATTATTCATACGCAACACTAAATGCTACACAAAATACAAAAAATTACAGACTTGGTAGGGATCAGTGAAAATGTATCATGTATAAGCCAAAAAAAAAAATGAATACCTGAAATTGGAAGGGACTCCAAGAGTCATCTAGCCCAACCTCCTACCAATCCAGGAATCTGCAACTAAATCATTTCTGACAGATGGCCTTGCAACTTTAAAACCTCCAATGAAAAGGAGACTACCACCTTCCAAGGTAGTGTGTTCCAGGCTATTACTATCAGGAAGTTCTTCCTAACATTTAGTCTGAATCTGCATTTTGTTTTTGTAATTTGAATCTATTTGATTGGATCCCACTTTCTGGGATAGCAGAAATCAAATTTGTATTCGTGAAGGCTTTCATGGCTGGGATCTAATGGTTGTTGTGGGTTTTTCGGGCTCTTTGGCCACGTTCTGAAGGTTGTTCTTCCTAACGTGCAGCACAGAGTGCTGTCCTCTGAAGATGCCGGCCACAGAGACTGGCGAAACGTTAGGAAGTACAACCTTCAGAACACGGCCAAAGAGCCCGAAAAACCCACAACAACCAGAAATCAAATTTGTTCCATTTTCTATGTAACAGCCATCCAGATACTTGAAGATGGCTATCAGCTCAGTCTTCTCCAGGCTAAATATGCCCATCTCTCTCAAATGTTCCTTATAGAGCTTGGCTTCCAGGCCTTTTGCCATCTGGGTCACCCTCCTCTAGACACATTGCAGCTGGTCCATGCTCTTCTTCCACTGTGGTACCCAGAAATAGACACAGTACTCCAGGAGAGGTCTAACGAAGCAGAACAGTGTGGCACCATTACTTGGCCTTGATCTGTATTGCATTTACTTTTTTGCCACTGCGTCACAGCTTTGACTCATATTTTATACTTTCCATAGTGTTTGTGGGCATATAACACAGTAACACACCAAAGCATTATTGGAAATTAAAATGGTGGACGTTCCTGACTACACAACTCAGAGAACAATGGAGACGAGGATAGATACCCTGAACTGAGCTCTGAAAGAAAAAGCATCTCTTTTCAGCCCTCTTCTGTCTTTCCATCTCTTGTCTATTTGTGTGTGTGTCAGTGGGCTACTCTGTATGGGCACTTGAATTAAGATATTTTGTAGCTGCTGGTAAGCGGGCAAGGTTATTTGTTGAGGTCTAGTGATAGGACAGCAAGCCTTTAAAAGAAGAAAGGAAAAAAATGGAACAGGAAGGGAAGAGGTAAACAAGCAGACCCAGGCGCCAAGTGTGGGGAGGAAAGGATTCAAATGGTTAACAAACTGCAAACAAGGCTGATTTCCTCCCCTCTCTCTGCTGACATGTGCGTCTGCCTGAAGTGAATTCACCCGGGGAAACCAAACTTTCCAAGTGCAACTTCACAGTGGATGCTTTCACATTTTTCCTGCTGTGTAGTCACACCCTTCCTTTATGTAACTGGGAACTTATCAAATGTTGTTGTTGTTGGAGGGGTAGAATGGCAAGAAGTCCTAGAATGTCACTGGCTCAATGGCTCAAGGGGATTGTGGGAAATTTTAAATGGCAGCTTACAAGATGATAGTCCTGACCCCAACACCTGGCTCAGAGCACCTGCACGTTCTTTTTCCTCCTGCTGTTTTTTCTTCTGCATTTCCAGAATTTTCCTTCGGTGTTCCTCCTCCTGCTGCCGCATACGTTCTTGGGCTGCCTTTTCAGCTTGTCGCCTCCTTTCTGCCTCCTCCTCCAGGCGCTGGCGTTCTTCTTCTAGCAGCTGTTTTCTTAAACTAAAGAAAGATTCCTGTCAGAAAGGTCCAGGTAGGATATTTACAAATGAAGAGACAGTGGAGATACTGGGTGGCTTTTAACATGCCTTCTCTGGACCTCCCACTTCAAAAGAGAAAAAGGAACATTGCCAATATAGGCCATTCACTGCTGGATTCAAGATAAAGAAGAAACAGAAGACACAGGAAGGGATAATTGGCAGGTATCACTTCGGAGTCTGCCAGGAAACCTAAATTATTCCTCTCTTCAGTATTTATGAATTCAGGTTTGTAAATACTGGGCCTCGTTTCCTTTAGACTTGAGATTTAATGGTGAACAGGTCCAAGCAATGATCAGAAGTACCCCATCCTGATATCAGGGTAACTCAGATAGTTTGAATTTAAAAAATTCAATGCTGTTTTTGTGGGCCAACATTTGAACACTTCTGACAAAGGCAGGGTACCAGATGAAACACACTGTGAAGGGTATTAGAGAAGTCGGGTTACAGAAATGTCTGTGTGGCGTACAGACTATGAGACTTCTTTATTTGGACCACTGGTGTTGGGTCATAATGGTTTGGGATCAGGTTCTTTACAGCCATGGTTCCCAAACTTGGATCCCCTGGATCTTCTTGGACTACAGCTCCCAGAAATCCTGACCAGCACAGCTTGTGGCAAATGCTTCTGGGAGTTCTAGTCCACGAACCTTGGGGGACCCAAGGTTGGGAACCACTGCTTTACAGAACTAATGGCCTCCCTATAAACCTGCCTGGCGATTAAGATGGGTTACAGAGTCCTGGCTTGAGTGTCGGCCAAGAGCTGTGTTGAGTTTGGCAGGCAAAAGAGACAGGGCCACCTTAGTGGGGGCACCAACCCCTCACCTCACTCAAGCCTCCTCCATCTTGTCCTTTCGGAAGGCCCTACAAATTTGTCTGACACTAATTTTAACAAATTCTGTAGTGTTTGTTATGTTGTTGTGGTGACATTTTTACATCCTTCTTGTCTTACAGTGAATTGGCCAGTTAAAATGGATGCTCTCACTGCTTTTTTTTCTTCTTGTCGTTGCTGCATCTTTGTTAATTTATCTAATTCATTTAATTTTTAATGTTGTTTGTCTTATAGTGAATTGGCCAGTTAAAGTGGATGCTCTCACTGCTTTTTTCTTGTTGTTGCTGCATTTTTGTTATTTTATCTAATTCATTTAATTTTTAATGTTGATACTGTTCAATCAGTTTCAGAGCCATGTCAATTTACAAGTTTATATGATCCCTTCTGGTTGAGTCATAGGTACATGGATACGGATGACAGACAGAAACCTATGCCAATTGTACCATTATTTTTAATCAGTGAGATCATTTTCCAGTCAATTTGGTGAGGAACAGAAAGGAGTTAAAGTGTCCCGTGAAGAAGTACTTTTTCTTAGTTTTTCTTGCCTAACCCAGACATGACTTAGGTCTACAAACCGCATCTCCTCGATTCTCCTCTGCTGCTCCTGCTCCATCTCTTCTTTCATCCTCTCCATCCGCTCTTGCTGCTCTTGCTCTTGACGCTTCAACTGTTCCTGCTCCCGACGTTTCCTCTCTACCGCCAGCCGTCTTTTCTCTGCCCTTTCTGCTATCATCCTCTCTCGAGATCGTTTTGCTTCTTCTTTCTTTGCAGAGAGATTCTGGCAAAAGGAGGGTTCGAACTAAGCACAACGACACACACTCGCTGTGAGAACATAACGCATTCCCAGAAGTGCTCGGCTTCGCTCTGCCACTGGCCAGAGTGAGTCAACTAACGCCAGTCCCACACAGGCACCTTCCTCAGCCATTCCCCCCTGTTGGAGGGCAGTGCTGGGTATACGACATGGCCTGTCCCATTTAAACAAGCCTGCTGCCTCCGTGTACAAGAGAGAAGACTGTCCTCCCGCTAGTGCTGAAGTTAAAAAAAAAAATCAAGTGTCAGTCCGTGTACAAGAGAGAAGACTGTCCTCCCACTAGTGCTGAAGTTAAAAAAATCAAGTGTCAGTCCAGTTCTGTATGTGAAATTTGAGGAGAGTGGCTGAAATCCTGACCTTCACCTCAGGCAACAAAACTTCTCGAGCCAGCATTGTTGAAGTGGTGGATTTTTCCAGAGGGCCAATGGGGCCTTCTCCTTAGTTTTGAGACCCTCTGCTTGCTGGTCCAATTGACTTTGATCTGTGAAAGTCACCGTATACAACAAATACACCTCCTACTCCTCAGGGAAAGAAAACAAAACAGTGATCTATGGGAGAGATGGGTGAGCCTTCTCTAAAGTGAAGCCAGCACTGCAAATTGGGGGGATACTTGAGCATTGCGCGTGTGGGAGACCTGGCAGCGGGCAGTGCTCAGAGAGGGCTCTCCCCGTTTCCCTTAGAGGGAATCAATCTGGCACACAATACTCACTGCTGGACACTTCTTACTCAACAAAAGTGCAGGTATATAGATGTTAATTTAAAACAAAACAAAACCAGGAACTCTTCACTGCCCCTAATTTTCTCAGTATGTTTTTGTCTGAAAATGACCATTCTTACCTCCTGAACAACATCAGCCTGGGAGCCATCTGGATTGAGGACGCCTGGTGGATGAAGAACAGTTGGTGGCTCTTTGCCAGGACTGTTGCGGGACCCAGGAGGACGGCCAGCATCTTCTGAAACTGGCTGGCTCTCCTCAAGTACCAAGGGAGCTGCCTCTTTGATAGGGCTGGAAGGAGAACGGCTTTGGCCAGGGGGGCTTCCTAAATGATTGCCATCTCTTTCACCTCCTTCTTCTTCATCATCCTCTATTACTTTTTCTCCTCCTCTTCCTCCCCCTTCTTCTTCTACAAAAGGATCAAACTGGTCCATGTCAGCATCTCCTTCGCTTTTTCCTTCCCCTTGGTTGGGTTCATCAGCAGTTTCTGATCCTTTGACACCTCCTAGCTTCTCTTTGAAATAAGCCCCTGTCTTCCTGGCAGCCTTTTTCGGCCTTGGTTTCACTTTAAAAAAAGGAAAAAAAGAAAGATGCTTTTTTTTTTTTTTTTTTTTTTTTTACCTTTTTCGGCCTTGGTTTCACTTAAAAAAAGGGGAAAAAAAGAAAGATGCTTTTTTTTCTTAATAGGAACACGCGTCTAGAGCTGTAACCACCACAGCAAAGGCTGCTCTTTCCACTTGCAGTTCCCATCACTTCCAGCAAACCTGATGGGCTTCAAATTTGGTCCCCTTGGTAGCTCAGGAAAAGCACCCTTACAGAGTTTCTTCTGAGGAAGCTAACCAAGTAGAAGCCAGCTCTGGAGGACCCAGGGGGCCATTCATACTCTCTCCCCACCCCCCCACCTCCTCCACTTTTTGTGGGTTTTGTTGGTTTTCCTGCTTTACTACTAAAACAAGGTTGAGATGCTTGCGTCAGAGGAGAATCCTATCCTGATAGATACTGGAAACACCATTTCCCTATTCTTTAGCATGAAATAAAACAAAACAAGAGGCTATTCAAGTCCCACCTCTGCCCTAAAAATAGAGAGTGACTTTTATCAGAATAAGTGTAGTACTGTAACAGTGTAAAACTTGTACGCATAGGTAGTGAGGCTTTATTGAATCTTTTTTGTTGCCTTAGTGCCTCCTGTGAATAAATATATATGGGGGCATTCCTGGATTCATCTCTGAGTCTGATGCCCAGATTTCAGCAGTGGCCAGGAGCGCCTTTGCGCAATTAAAACTAGTGCACCAGCTGCACCCGTTTCTTGAGAGGTCTGATCTGGCCACAGTGATGCATGCCCTTGCTGCATCTCATCTGGATTACTGTAACATGCTGTATGTAGGGCTGCCTTTGGAAAGTATTGGGAAAGTCCAAGGGTCCAAAATATCACAGCTCGATCGTCAACTGAGACTGGTTACAGAGAACATATAACTCCCCTGTTACTGCAGCTCCACAGGCTGCCAATCTGTTTCCAAGCACAATTCAAAGTGCTGGATTTAACCTATAAATGACTTGGGTCCAATCTGTCTAAAAGACTGCATCTCCCTCTCTGAGCTTGGCTGGGCTTTAAGATCATCAGGTGAGGCCTTTCTTCTGTATGCTTGGGAGGGATTCTGGGGAGAGGGCCTTCTCTCTCGCTGCTCCCAGACTCTGGAACTCCCTCCTATGGAAGCTAGTCCGGCCCCATCACTTCTGTCCTTCTCTAAGCAGGCAAAGACCTTTCTCTTCAGGCAGGCTTTCCCTTAATGACTGGTGGTCTGAGAGGGTTTTTTTAAATGGATTGTTGTGTTCTGTTGTTCTAAAGGTGCTTTAATGTTAATTTTATTTACCATTTTAAAATAATACTTATTTAATTCTTTAAAAATATGTGTATATTTGCTGTTTTTAGCTTTTGAATGTTGCTTTTTAATGATGTGAGCCACTTTGATTCCATTTTGGGGAGAAAGGCGGGATAGAAATGATTTAAATAAATAATAAATGTGTGTGTGTGTGTGTGCATGCATGCATGCACACCTACCTACCTATTTATGTATATCTATGAATGTATATATTCTCATAAGGTTATGCTATTTAGTTTAAAAAATATCAAGTGGATTTTGCCTTAGGGTGCAACTACACAGCAGGGAAAATATGGTTTGGTCCACTGTGATTCACAATGGAGTAAAATCACTGCCCAGCCCAGTTTGTAGGAATCAGCAGGGCAGAGGCAGGAGAGCTCAGTTTGCACAAGAGTTCTAACACCAGAAGCTGCCTTAGCCAAAGGGCTAACAATGCTCATTTGTCATTTCCACCTCTCTTTCTCTTTATTGTTCTCCTTAAGTGCCCCAGCAATTCTCCTCCACTACTGAGCTGAAGCCCTTTTTTAAGAAGACAGTTTGGAGACAAGAGACACTCAGTTGAGGGGAAGTGACATCCTCACAAGCACCCCTTTGCAATGTCAAAAGGAATAAATGTCAATCACCTCTTCTGGCTGGACAACAACAACAAAAGACAATAGCCCCACCAACAAGACAGATGACAAGGGAAATTGCCCACATTAAGCTGTACATCATGTGGATTTAATTCGAATCCCCCAGTGCCCCATCTGACATAAATTGCAGGGTAAATTGTCAACAGTCTCCCCCTTAGATCACCATATAGTATTAAGGATCTCCATCCATTTCTGTCTGTCCATACCTACAACAAACACCTGACTTCTGTGTCCTTCTTTCTTGGGTCTCTTTTCCTCTTTTGACACAGATCCAATCGCCTTCAATTCGCGTTTCTTCTGTTTTGTCATTTGTTTATTTTCTATAATAGCTGAAGCCTGCAAGGTGGAAAGGAAAAGGAAAAGAAGAAAGAATAGAATTGCACGTTAGCATGTTATTTGAGTGACAGGTGCTATATAAGTAAAAACAAACTTTGTGCTTTGGATGTTCCCCTGTAGGTGGCTTACAGTAGGAAACTCACACTGAAATTTCTCAGAAGACCATTCTGATCTATACACACAAAGACTACAGTACTTATGTTTAAATTTCAGCATCTTCAGAACTGATGACCCCCAAAAGTTAAGGGCCCTCCAGAACAGGAAATGGACAGAAGTATGCACTGCGGGGTGGGGTGGGGGGTGAATTTATCCCCATTTTACTGCCAGAAGGATTCTTCTCAAAAATGTATTCAAGAGTTGTGTCTGTTCGTGGAAAAGAACCAGTCTAACCCAAAATGTGTTGATGAAATTACTAAATTTGAAACTGGTGGAGAGAATTCTGTTGGTGATTTATTTGTGTGGAGCTAAGTGGCATAACTCACTTTTCTCTAGCTAAGAAGGTGCCAGCTCCATTACTAGGTGCTAGTGGCAATGCAGTGCGTTACACAATTCAGTGTACACATAAATCACCAATTGGATTCTGGCCAGTTTGCACTTCTGTATTGTATTGTGATGTATGGAAGTGAGAGCTGGACCATAAAGAAAGCTGACCGCTGAAGAATTGATGCTTTTGAATTGTGGAGCTGGAGGAGGCTCTTGAGAGTCCCCTGGACTGCAAGGAGAACAAACCTATCCATTTTGAAGGAAATCAACCCTGAGTGCTCACTGGAAGGACAGATCCTGAAGCTCAGGCTCCAATACTTTGGCCATCTCATGAGAAGAGAAGACTCCCTGGAAAAGACCCTGATGCTGGGAAAGTGTGAAGCCAGGAGGAGAAGGGGACAACAGAGGACGAGATGGTTGGACATTGTCATTGAAGTGACCAACATGAATTTGACCAAACTCTGGGAGGCAATGGAAGACAGGAGGGCCTGGTGTGCTCTGGTCCATGGGGTCACGAAGAGTCGGACATGACTTAACAACTAAATAACAACAAAATCGCAATATAAGATGTTCAACATTGTCAGGAGAATGTATGAAAAGTTATAGACAAATTTGGAATGGCTGGTGGAGAATGTATTTACATATGGATAAGTGTTGGTTGACAGAATGGAGTGAGTGAGGAACACGGAATGTTGGCGAGAATAGTTCTGATTGGTTGAGAGAAACAAGGGGAAGTGGAGTGTTGGTGAGGTTTGGGAGCAGTCGGTGGGGAAGAGAGATGGAAGAGGGTGGCTTTGAGTCTGAAGGAGCAGTCTGATGGCATTAGGTTGGATTCCAGGGGTGGAATGTGACACTTGCACACCTAATTTGTGTCTGAAGTCTGCATTTTGGATCTCAATTTTAAGAAACAGACTTGGCATGGACATCTGCCATGACTTTTCAAACATTCGTTTCCCCCCTTCATCAAGCTGCGCACCAATATATTACAGATGTATAATCTGTAATGTATTGGTGCATCCCTTGATGAAGAGTACTGTAAGTCAAAAGCTAGCTTTTTGTTTTAAAGATCTAAGAAAGCATTACCTGTCCTTGTGTAAGGACTACAGGGGTTGTTGTTATTTCAAAGAAAACACTTTATTCCTCTGGCGATTTAAAGAGGCCACCAGCAACATAGTCAAGTGACAAGGGAAAGGAAGTTTTGACATCAGTATCAAAGGCAGTTATGTCACGAGAAGACAAGACACACCAGAAAACATGACAATGTTAGAAAAAGTTGAAGGCAGTAAGAGAAGCCCTAAGATGAAATGGATTGACCTAACAAAAAGGATGCATAGCCTTTAGTCTGCAAGACCTTCCAGATTTCATGAATTCCATTAAAGCTGCCAGAAGCTGGAAGTGACCTGACAAGACCAAACACATTCATAAACATTTCCAAAGTGCAATATTAGAGATGGCCACTAGGGCGAAGATAGTGCAGTAGGACTGCTGTACTGTATCTGTGGGGGATCAGCTCCAAACCCCCACCCCTGGATGTCAAAAAACAGGGAAGTAGGGAACGCTGTACATTGCATGGTCTCTGGTTCCCTCTAGTGGCCAGTTCTAGTAAACACAGCCTATATTTCTGAGGTTTTTTATTTAATATTTTCAGGCATAGGATAAAAGAATCAGCAGATAGGGGGGTACTACTGTGATGGGCTTCCAGTTACACCACTGCAGCATGCACGGCAATGAGTTAATTGCCTAATCCAAGTTACAATAATGGTACTGGCTGCTGAGACATAACGATGGACACAATGACCTATCACATTCTGCTCTCTGGAACAGACAAGCTTGCATCTGTGTGCAAGATGGGCAAAACGTTTAGCAAGATTTTCCACACAAGCCTTCATGGCAGTTTTGCATGAGTTTGCACCCAAGTGCAGACTCTCAACACTCACCCTACTGGAACCGGTGACTTTTGCTTTGTTGCTGGTATTCTCCGGCAAAGCCATCTCATCTCCCGTTCCGAAATGCTGCTCAGAAGGCCACACATCCATTGTTACGCTCTCTTTAAATTCCCCACTGTGGTCAAGAAGCTTCATAACAATATTATTTGCTTGGGGGACACTCTCCCTTTGAAAAAACCCATTATGAAATAAACAGAAAAGACAAATTGTTACAAAATATTAAGCACATTATACTTTTTTCCTCCTTGGGGGTGAAAAAAAAGTAAAACCAATAACAAAACGAAGCTTTTCATGTCCCCATGATCACCGCCCCAGTTTGCCTACACTCGTGTGACGTTTGCTTTTGTTTACCTGCATGCAGTGAGATCCCTTGATGTACAATTCATGTCATTGTAATGGCCCCAGCAGGTAACTGCCTTTCTCTGTATCTCATTACCAAGAAAAGGAAGAAATATTCCACTGTAGTATTAATGGCAGTCTCAAGACTCTTCTCCGTGGTTACTGAAATACTCCCTGTGACTTTCATCTTATGATCTCAAAAGCCTTGCTGTACACTTCTCAAATCCCCGAGCAGTTAGACTCAGCACTCCTGTGTTTAGAGTCCCTCGGGTGGCATGGAGAGTGCTCAGGGCTGGTGGTGCCTTTTGTAATCTTTACTTTACTTTAAAAATAGGCAAACAAGCACTCCTTCAAGGCCCTGGAACTTGGAAATAACTGATTCCAAATAATTAATTAGTTGCAATTGATTCCTTTTTGCAATACCTAAGACATAATAGTGAAATTGAGTACAACTGAAGGTTGAATAACTTCATTTCTATCATGGTGTAACGATTTAGGTATTCTTTATTTATTTATTGTATTTATACCCTGCCTATCTGGTCAAACGACCACTCTAGGCAGCTAGTATTTCATATGAAATACAGAGGTGCCTTGCATAACGAGCACACCGTTTAACGACGAATCCGCATAGCAATCTATTTTTTTAGATCGCTAATGTGATTGCATTGTGATGTTTTTATGGCTAAAACATCACATTGTGATGATCGGTAAGCGTTTCGCTTACCGATCTTCGCATTGCGATGTTTTTTGAACAGCTGATTGGCGGTTCCAAAATGGCTGCCGAGTGCCCAAAATGGCTGCAGCAAACATTTTCGCGCCCTGCCCGAGGGTGCGAAAATGGCGGCGCTATGGAGGAACTTCACTGAACTGTGAGTTTGGGCCCCATAGGAATGCATTAAATGAAGTTTAATGCGTTCCTATGACATTTTCCGTTCTGTTTAGCGATGTTTCCTCATAGCGACAATTAATCCGGAACGGATCAACGTCGCTATGCAGGGCACCACTATACTGAGTATTTCATATGAGTGGTGCAGTGATAAATGCTGAAGTCCAGGGGCTCATCATGACAGTCTCCATAGCCTCCTCCTCAACAATGAGAGGACAAAAATGCAGGCAGTTGGATGGATCCACATTAAGGAATGGATTTTTATAGTCCTTGTTTCCACCAGGAGCAGGTCTTCTCTATGGCTAATGGTTCTTAATTGCCTATCCAAGACAATATCAGCCCGAAACACTTTTTATTACAAGAGGTGTAAGGTTCTAAAAATATACTGTTCCTGGGGAAAATTATTTCTTCTGCAGCTGTTGTGAGGATCTCAGCTAGGCTCAGGGAAACCTATGAGTTGATGTCATAGTTCTTTCTACTCTGAAAATCTTGGGCTTCAACACTATGAATCCTAGCTCCTCTATGTTGCTGCTCACATGGAAGGGGCAGGGTCTGAAGAGAAGAAATGGTGGGGTTTCCCACAGAGGCTCACTTCGTATCCCAGGTCCTGCCTTATGTGAAGAGCCCCACAAACAGAAGGGGCTCTCCTTGTCACACCTGTTGCTTCTCACATGAGCAACACTTTCCCTTCCTTGCAAATTCAGTAAACAAGCTTAAGAAGACAAGGATCAGGCTTGTAACTTCTGTTATATGTAGCTACAAGACTGTGGCCTCATTAATGGCAGAAGAGGAATATTGCATGACTGAAACAGTGGCTCATACTGTGCCTCATGCTCTGTTATGGGTACTGGGCTGATGATAAGGTGGGCAGGAGTAGCATCTTGTTTCATAGTTTAGGACAGTGGCTTCTAACACTAAATTCTTTAAGTTAGTGGTCCCCAACCTTGGGCCTCCAGATGTTCTTGGGCTACAACTCCTAGAAGCCTTTACCACCACTTCTGCTGGCCAGGATTTCTGAGAGTTGAAGTCCAAGAACATCTGGAGGCCCAAGGTTGGGAGCCACTGCTTTAAGTAACTAAAATAAAATATTTGCTTACTTTGGAGAAACATTGGATTAGAATTTCAAAACTTGTAGCAATTTATACACATGGCAACGAATTCCACAGCAGTAAAATTCTGAGTGAATATTACATCTGTATTCTTGAATGCTTTCACGGCCGGAATCTGATGGTTGTTGTAGGTTTTTTGGGCTGTTTGGCCATGTTCTGAAGGTTTTTCTTCTTCATATCCATAATGTGCACCCCAGACATCTTTAAAAACAAACAAACCCTCAAGCTATCTAAAACCTGGTTATGTTGTTCACTTGTCTTCAATGGATGCGCCAAATCTGTGTGCCTGATGAATTTACACATCTTATTTTCTTGTACCTATAAAACATCATGTGTGATATATCCCTAGGGAAAGTCATCTGATCTACTTACATCTCCCATTCAGAAATGGTTGGATGGGCAAGGTGTGGCTCCAGATGTTTCAGCTCATCTGATAGAGGCAAGTTATCCAGTGCTCTCCCAGTATCTAAAAAGGGAACTGACCACAGAAATATATATTATGGTAGGAATAATTGCAATGATTCTGAAAAAAAAGGGGAAAAAATAGCAATTAGCTTTTTTAAAAAGGTCTTTGGCAATTTCCAATTTTAGAAAGTGTTATATTTTGGGGAATTGTTTTTCTGTGTGTGTTTTTTTAAAAATGTGCCCTAAACATTCTATGGCACAGAGGCCCTGGTCACTAGTTATCCCCCAGTTAGTTTGTCGCTTTTTTTTTCCTGGTCGAGACATTTTCCCGGCCAGTGGAATAACCGCAGAACATTTCCCTGACACCAGGAGGGTTGTGTTATTTTGTACTTTTGTTGTACTGGTGCATTCCTTGACGGGATTGCCTATGTGCAGGCCCTGCTTGGCTACTTTTCAGAACTGAAGCCAGGAAAGCGCCCCCCCCCCATGACCACAGCACACATTATTTTTTAAAAAAATTTCTTGCCCGATACATTGATACATTTGTAAAAGTATATCACCGGGCGTAATAATTTTTTAAAAGTTCTATGAGAAGATACATTGAAACATTGGTATACCAATGCCACTGGGGTGGGGGTGATCACCAGTACTGCTGCGCGGACATCCCATGTCCATTTCCGGCTGCAGGAGCAGCCGGTGCAACAGAGGGACATTTTCCTAAACAGAATGCCCTTCCTGATCAATGTTCCTTGTCATTTCCACCCTCCTGTGTGTGAGTCAGCCCCCTCCTCTGTGGGGTTCCATTGCGGCCGGAATGAAAGGGGCTGGAAACAACCACTGCGGGTAAACAAGGGAGGAGAAAAGCTGTCTAGAGGAGGGGCAGAGTCACGTACGCTCACACAGTCACACACCTTAGAGGCAGCCTTGTTTCTGATATATTGATGAATTTATATATATATCAAGGGGTTAAATTGCCCCTTGAAGCAAGACAGAAAATAAACCAGTACCATGGTGTGGCTGGCCATAATGATTCAAATAAATAAACTGGTACTACTAAAAGTTCTTGGGACGTCCATCCAAGATATAAACCACATGACCACAATTCAGTATAACAGAGGTATGGAAAGTATTGGAAGAACTAGAACATATTTCCCTCGTGTGCCCAGAGCCAGAGTTAGACTAAAATTTAAATTATGCCCAGCCTTTTGTTTGAAACATTGGTATCATCTTCCTACCAATAGAGGGTGCTCTTGTGCCGAGAATGTGAGAAACTGCCTTTCCTCCTATTTTTACTGCCACTAAAAAGAATTGTAGAAGTGAAACCTAGGAATTACACAGTATTTTATTTAGGCAATACATTTCTTACCTCCCACCCCCCCACACACACTCTCTTTTATCAAGAATCACATACAAAAGAAAATGGACACAATTTCAAGACAACTCAAAGCGAGAAGGTAACGGCCCCAGTCCAACATGCCAGTGTCAATGAGCTCCCAATTCTTTGGTGGATTGTGACCACTGACCCATAGATGTCTACTCACTGAATTCAGTGGTGTTTTGTCCCCGGCGAATGAGTATAGGATTAAAGACTGCATGCACTAACTTGATGTCCTTAATGGTTCAATCAGGTGCATGGCTACTAAGAATAAAGTTTTATTGAGGTCAAGGAGACTTATTTCCAAATGTTGCATAAGACTACATTCTTCAGCTAATTAAAGAAAGAAAAACATGATAGGCCTTAAGAAGACAAAAGACTGCCAACCCTCCTTCTCCCACATTTAGGAATGTTGAAATACATTTTCAGCAGGCACCGCAACCCACAAAGAGCCACTGTCCATCTAAGGGTTTAAGGGAATGGGATCTCAACCATCAATCACAAAGCAATGTACACTAAATACAAGATATGGAGGTGAGAAAAGACACAAGTTATGACAGACGTCATGTACCATTTGGGAGAGCACCTCTTCTAAACACATTCTATATTCTGTAGTTTGCCCCTGATTTTCACTAGCAGAAAATGCCCTGTTTTGAATCGTAATGGGGTTCTTCCAGATGTAGATGCTGATGGTTAATTTGCATCATCCAAATGATGCTTGTTTTGTCCTGATTTCTTTCATGTGAATCACATTCCAATGTTTTTTACTCTTCTAGTGATGTGTGGTTTTTTTAAAAAAATCTTGATACTTCTGTGCCTACTCACCCCACTTTTCTTGTGTGCACCTGTGTAACCGTATGTTCTGCAAGGCCATTGGGTATATCCTCTCTGACGTCTGCAGCAATTGATTGAGGTACACTGTGCAAGATACCTCTCCTTGCACATACAGCTCTTTTGTCTTGTTCTTTCATTTTGATTTCCAGTTGCATAGAATGCTCTTCTGCCTCGAAAAGAGTGAACCTTGTTCCACTTTAGTTTCCCTGTTCTTTCTCCTACAGTGGTTTTTTTTCCCTGACAAGCATTCTATCTGAAGCTTCCCTTCCCTTCCCTTCCCTTCCCTTCCCTTCCCTTCCCTTCCCTTCCCTTCCCTTCCCTTCCCTTCCCTTCCCTTCCCTTCCCTTCCCTTCCCTTCCCTTCCCTTCCCTTCCCTTCCCTTCCCTTCCCTTCCCTTCCCTTCCCTTCCCTTCCCTTCCCCCCCTCCTCCCTTCCTTCCTCTGTGCACAGATGATCAAGCACTAATGTATCAATGCAATGATTCAGCACTAGAGTCAATCATTTAATAAGAAATTTGGGGAAACTATATATTTATTTATTAATTATTTATTTCATTAATTTATATACTGCCCTATTAGTATGATGCACTATTCTGGGCAGTTGACAAATAGTGTAGTCCACCAACCAAGCAATAACAAAGAAACAGTAAATCAAGTTGCAAAACGTGAAAGTAAAAATGTGTCAACTTCCAAAGCCGAGGTACCACAACATTTCATAATAAAATGGCAGGGCTATGGCAAAAAATTCACACAACGTTGCAATCAAAAACCTCTTTGAAGAACAATGTCTTCCACAACCTTTTAAAGTTGGGGAGGGAGGGGGCAAGACATAGCTTGACTGGGAGCTGATTCCAAAGGATTGATGCCACAGCTGAGAAGGCCCGGCTTCTGCTTGATGATTTCCTGGCCTCCTTTTGTGTAACCACATGGAGGAGCAACCCCTGGGTGGAACTGGTGCTGGTAGATGATATTGGTGAATTTTGTTCCACCAAATACAGTGGTGCCTCGCTTTACGATTGCCCCACATTACGATGAAACTGCATTACAACGATCTTTTTGCGATTGCAATTGTGATTGCAAAACGATGGTCTGAATGGGGTTTTTTCGCTTTGCGATGATCGGTTCCCTGCTTTGGGAACCGATTCTTCGCAAAATGACGATTTTCCTCCAGCTGCTCGGTGGTTTCAAAATGGCCACCGAGTAAATAAAATGGCTCCCCGCTGTTTTCTGGGACAGATTCCTCGCTGCACAGGCACTGAAAATGGCCGCCCTATGGAGGATCTTCGCTGAACAGTGAGTTTCCAGCCCATTGGAATGCACTGAAGGGCTTTCAATGCGTTTCAGTTGGCTTTTTATTTTGGCATTATGACGTTTTCCTTCTACAGCGATTTTGCTGGAACGAATTAACGTCGTAATGCGAGGCACCACTGTAGAGCTAAGCACCAAAACCTTGAATTTGATCTGAATTTGTCACAATCTGATTTGTTCACACCTGCCACTAGCCTGGTGGCCACATTCTGAACCTACTCAAGGTCAACCTCAAGGGAAGCCCCACATAGACAGCATTACAGCAGGCAGTCCTGGAGATCACTAGCACATGTACCAACATCCTGAGAGATCCCTCATCTGGGTAGGGGCAGAGCTGGGTAATAAGCTTCATCTGACTAAAGGCTGACTTGGACACAGGTGCAACCTGGGAAGTAAATTACTGGAGAAGGTGTTTCCACTGTCCCAAAACATAATGCCCTGCAAACTACATCACCAGAACATCACCCAGAGTCTTCCCCCCCCCATCCTTTGTAGAATGAAACAGCAGATGACATAGATAGGGGAAACACCATTCAAATTGTTCTACTCTGAAAAAGCTAGAAGCCCCAGCAGCAGGGGGGAAAACTCCAAATCAGAAGCAAAAACTCTAATTCGCTTTGGCCTTTGCTTCCTGTGATGATTTAAATATGAAATGACCTGTTGTGCTTCCAGAGCACCTCCTGAAGTATTTGTCAGTGTAGCCCCATCCTCAAATAAGGAAGCCGGCCTCTTTATAACTGTAAGCACGACTTACAGCCTGACTGCTCTATGACAGATTTGTGTGGGAGTTTTATCCACTTGATTCAATACACATTTTGTTTTGACGCTTATCGTATTTTCATTTCACCGCCCCCCCCCCAACAATGCTAGGCCAATTCTCACATGCTTTTGGAAATGAAGCATGAAAGGTTATACGCGTAGCTGTTAAAAGACAGAAGGCAGGTGTTATGTAGTGTATGTAAAAGATCAGGTTTAATACCCTGCAGTATTAAACCAGCAATGTGTTGTAAGTTAATTCTGTCTGTGGTGCATCCCTGTCCGTAGTTTATGCAACAAAGAATCCAGCAATCCCATAACTTCAAGCTCTATTTTCTAGTAGGTAAAGGTGGAACAGAAATATAATAAACAAATGGTCAATCCTTGCCCACAAAAGAGTCTGCAATTCTGAGCCTCATAACAAGCTAGCAATGATCCTTTGAGACTAGCATTTTATTTTTAAACTACTGTGAATAAAATTATCTGGAACTATTGGCCTAAATCCAGTTATTTAGTGTAAGAAAATCAATATCTTTCAGTCTGCTTCTAACTGGCATACAAAAAAGTCCCCACTGCAATTCTCAGGGGTGTGCATGCCCACACCAAGCCAGCATGTGGGCAACACCCCTGAGAATCCAAACAGTGAGTCTTTATTTGCAGGTTAAGACACATTGAAAATTATGGATTTCCTTGTGCTACACAATAAGATTGTGGCCACTGTATAATAGATATGGTAGTAGTGCAGTCTTTCCCCCCACAAACTCTTCAGATTAGGATTGGGGAGTGTGTGATGCGCC